TTTTTGTTTTTTTCTTAGGTCTTTTGTTTTTTTTAGATTGCTTTTGTCTGTCCAGCAGGTGTGGCTCAATTGGTTGAGTGTCACATTAAGAACCAGGAGATCATGGTTCGATTCCCCACCAGGGCACATGCCTAGGTTACAGGCTCAATCCCCAGTGTGGGGCATGCAGGAAGCAAATGATCAATGATTCTCTTTCATTATTAATGTTTCTATCTCTCTCTCCCTCTCCTTTCTTCTCTGAAATCAATAAGAATATATTTAAAAATAATAATAATATAAAAATAAAATATAACCTTATCTGCCAGAATGAAAAGTAAGGTACAACCAATCTAATTGAACAATGGGCACAGGATTTGAATAGACGTCTTTCCAAAGAAGACATACAAATGGCCAAAAGACACATAGAGGCCCAGTGCACAAATTCGGGTGGCTGGCCAGGGGGAGGAGTTGCGGGCAGTTAGTGGGCCGACCCTGCTCTGCCCCCTGGTCATACTCCTAGTTGAACTTCTGGTAGAGGGGACAATTTGCATATTAGCCTTTTATTATATATTGATAGGATATTCAACATTTCCAATTATTAGGGAAATGCAAATCAAAACCACAAAGAATAGCTATTAGCAAAAATAAATAAGAAATGCTAGGGAGGTCGTGGAGGAAAGGGAAACCTTGTACACTATTGTATATTAAGACTAGAACTACCTTATGACCCAGCAATTCTACTTTTGAGTATTTGTCCAAAGAATATGAAAACACTAATTTGAAAAGATATATATGTACCCCTATGTTTATTGCAACATTATTTATAATAGCCAGGATACAGAAGCAACCCAAGTGTCCATCAGTAGATGAGTGAATAAAGAAAATGTGGCATTTATACACAATGGAGTATGATTCAGCCTTAAAAAAGAATGAAATCTTGCCATCTGCAACAACATGACTGGACCTAGAGGGTATTGTGCTGAGTGAAATAAGTCAGATGGAAAGACAAATACCACATGAGTTGGAATCTAGAAAACAAACATATAAACAAAGGACCAAAAAGCAAAATAAAACTAAAACAAACTCATAGATACAGAGAACAGATCTGTGGTTACCAATTGGGAATAAATGAAAGGAAAAGAGGAGATCAATTATATGGTCATGGATGGTAACTAGACTATTTGGGAGTGATCACTTTGTAGTGCATACAGATGTCAAATTATAATGTACAGCTGAAACATATAATAAAAATAATTTTGAAAGGAAAGAAAAATATGGTATATACATTGCCCCATTTTAAAATGTTGACAGTACAGGAAATATAGCAGTTGGGGAATCGCTGATATAAATGTGAATTGGCTTTTTGTGTTTATGTTATGCCAGTGCCTTTGTGGGTGCAGAATGTTCCTTCCTACTGCTTCTGGGGGGGAGGAGGGGAGAGCTTCGTGGCCTGTGCCCCAGAGGGAGGGCCCAGACAGGGCCTGGGGGGCCTGGACTGACACTTGCTCACTCTCTAGAGCTGGGGCCAGGTAGAACACTTCTCCCATTTGCTGTGGTTTTCTTAAGCATTCCTTTTTGAGGAAAAATAATCTAAGGGTGCACACACATGTTCATACTCTGTTGAGGGGAAGGAGAAGCTCCCTCACTCCTGCGGCTTTGCTGACTGTATGGCTGCTGTGAGCAAGCCCAGCTGCCATCAAGGTGCTGGGCCATCTCTGGGTTTCAGCTCACGCAGGCAGAGTCCTCACAGGAAGGACTCCTCATGCCCACAGGGGGATCGCAGCGACCAAGACTTGTATAGTCTTGGAGTACAAAGATGAATACCATATGGTGTGGCTTGGTTAGACCCACCCACCATCCTTTCTGGGAGTTCTCTGGAGATCAGGAAATGGCTGGCCCTGGTTCTGGTCTCTGGATGGAGAAGAAGGGGTTGGGGATGTGCTGGTCCACAAGGAGGCCAGCACAGACTGAGGAGGAAGAAGAGGAAGGGCACCTGGGCAATACAGTTATGGGGCTGTTTGCTGAGCCCGATGAAGGATATCTCAGCTGAAGTGCCCTCTGTCTGCCCAGTGGATTCCCTCTGGGTGGTCACCAGCAGCAGCAACAGCATTGTTGGGTGAGTGTAGAACATGTGGCCAGGTGTTCCCTCTGGGTGTCAGTAGCAGGCATTATTGGAACACATGCAGACCATGCTTTTCTTCTGAGTCAGCAGGCTGGCTTGCTTAGTCTAGAATGTCTCCCAAGTTCTTTGTGTGGAAGCAAATACACAATGAGGAGCAGGAATAGGGAACCTGTGTTTATGGAAGCAGCTTGTGGTGAGATGGTGCCTCAGGCTATGCTTCTGCTTCAGTCAAAGGGTGGAGCAATATCAGGACCAGAGTCCTGGGTATTTCCCACTGTGGAGGAGGGTGTTTAATGGCCAGGGTTTGGGCTTATGTCATTAGCTTCCCTGGAAATAACCCCCCACTCCCTACATACCAAAGCAGTAGTGAGCACGCCTGCCTCCTGGCTTTTCTTGGAAAAGGCATTTCTAGGAATGCCTGCTTGGCTTGGCCTTGTGCCTAAAATGTTATGAGTCAAGTTTCGTGGTAGGGCTCTGAACAGGCATTTTATTGGCATTGTTGCATCCCTGGGCCAGGCACCCTGGGCTCTGCAGGGTGCACAGGAGCCCTCCTAGGCTCCTCCGCACTGCACTGGATACAGTCAGCGCTAGAGGAGTAAGGGTCTGGGGTGGGGGACAGGGACAGAGTAAGGGCCCATCCTCAGCCCCTCAGTTCCTTTACACACTGTCTCTAGGCCCTGGCAAGCTTGGATTTGCACTCCTGACCACACCCATACCCCCACCTCTTATTCTGAGATGTGAAAAGGCTGCTCTTGAACCCAGGTTACACTCCACAGTGCTTAAGACCTAGGTTCCATTGTGCAAATACTTGGGGACGTGCAAGTATAAAAACTGGATATACTAAGGTGTTCCCACTCTGAAGTTTCAGCAAAAGGATTCGTGTGTCACCTTTGCAAGATCTTGATGATTGCCATAGCACCCACCTTGAGACAGTAAGGCCTGCCTGCCTGGTGGAACATTGTTAACTCCTGTGCCACTGGATGCTTTTGCAGTGCTCCCAGGCAGTCTGTGGTTTATGCACTAAAGCAGTTGTCATTTATTCCTATATGTGCTCTTCTCTTTCTGGTTGCTTTCTTCTTCCCTGCTGTCTTATCCCAGATGCAGCTTTCCCACAAAGGAGAGGCCGGACCACAGGCTGTGGCCTGGGAGGCTTCTTCAAATCCCCTAGATGTCCCAGTGTGGCTGGCCTGGTGACAATTGCGTGCACACTCCAGCTGCACCCTTAGCCACTAGCCTCCAGTCAGGGGTGGGCCTGGCTTCAGGGCTGGCTGTCAGGCTCGACTCTACAGTCAGACCCACCTTCCCCTGTCCTGTCTCCCCTGTGCAGTGGCCTCCAGAGGGGGACAGGGCACACTGTGTAAACCACGAAGCGGATTGCTGACAGCAGCCTGTAGCCACTCCTAAGCCAGAAGAGTTGGCTCCATGTGTTTAAAACAGTTGAATTAGTTGCTCATATCAGGAAGATTGTATTTGGCTGTAGGTAACAGAATATCTCATTGACAGCGCTTTAAGTTATAAAGATACTTACTTAACTCCCTGACCCGGAAGTCTGAAAATGGGTGCTCCCAGGCCTGGGCAGCAACACCTTGATGTCCCCCTACCATCCTGTTACCTATCTACTCAGAGGCCTGTCCCCTGTGGCCCCAGACATCTGATACAGTTCTAGGCAGGGTGCTTACTTCCAGTGCCCTGGCAGGAAACCTGGGATTGCGATAGCTTTCCTTTTATCAGGAGGAAGACTTTCCCAGAAGTCTCCACCATAAGCTTTCCCTACACTTTTCAGCCAGAAAATGAAGAGAAGAGGGGATTCTGAAGACTGGGATCGCTGCTGCCCAGTGAAGTCAGTGCAGCAGAACCTGCTCTGCCACCTGCAGAGCCTGAGGGTTTCGCTGCATGCTCCCCATTGTTGGGTTTGCTTGAGAAATGGAAGACTGAGCACTGAGCCCTCATCAGCCTACAGCGCCTGGCCTTTGGGCTGGTTTCCTCCTGGCCTCCTCACCCCATGCTTACACCCCTCCACGCCCCTCTCTGGCTCTGAGGACTCTCAGCACCAACACTCAGATGTCAGGATTCCATCAGGAAACTTTCCTTGCCCACTTTATACCAAGCCAGTCTTTGGCAGTAGAGTCACAATGCCGAGTCACTTTGCAGATTTATGCCTATCCCAGAGCGGCTAGGCTTCTGCACCTAACACACAGAACTTCTCTGCAGTCAGTGCCTGTGGCAGTCATCGCACTGCATCTGGATTTCCGCTTCTAACTAGATGCATGGCAGCAAAGCTGAGGGTCAGAAGTGAGGGTCATAGCTTATCGTCCTAGAGAACTTTAGAGTCCATGGAGCATGTTGGCATGTAAAACATTCCCACTAACAGCAGAGGTTAAGGGGAGCCAAGAGGCTTTCCTGAGGCCATGCAGCCACTAAGCTGCTGAGTGGGTAGGTGTTGGAGCCGCAGTTGTCATTTCCACACATCTCTTCTGTCACACAGTTGGGACAGGAGGAGGCCGGTGTGGAAGACTTACTGGTTATTCATTGTCAGAAGTGCACTAGCTTATTGGACTTAGGGAGCCTGCATAACGTGGGCATCTTCCTCACCAAAGTGGCTGTGGGGTTTCCAGTGTGCTGCCGAGCATCAGGGGGCCAGACTGACCGTGGGTCTGGGCAGAAGCCACCCACCATGACCACCAGTCAGTGGCAATAGAGAAATTCCAAGCAGCCCAGATGTGGGCAGCACCTGACATCAGTCCCCTAGGTATCAGGGCGTGTGATGGGCGCTGACACTCAGGCAGCTCTGCCGGACAGTGTGGCCGGAAAGCTATACAGCTGAGACCTAACAAACCTCAGGTGGACTTGTCACCATGTGTTGAGTACATGAATGTCACTTCTCTCTTTCTCCCCTCAGGACAAGACATTTCAAAGAAAGTATTAAATTCATTCACGAGTGCCGGCTCCGGGGAGAGGGCTGTCTTGTCCACTGGTATGTATGCCTCTTGCCTGATAGCCATTCAGCTTGGTTGATCCTCAGGGCTTCCCTGTGTGCAGTTAATTATTTTATCTCCTTATTTTTCTCAAAATCTCAGACACACACCCCACTTGAGTCTCCTCTTTGTTCAACACTGTTGGCCTTTGTTGAGAGAGAACCCTAAAACTTAGGATTTTCATCTTCACAGGTAGGACTTCTGTAGGGACTGTCAGGCCCTTGGACAGCAGAGCCTTTGTGGCCAACCTCTGCCATTCCATCAGAGCAGTCTCCATGGAGGGCACAGACTGTAGGCTTGCTCCTGACCCCTCAGGGTCTTTCAGAGTAATACAGTTCCTTCCACAGAGCTGTGATTATGTTATGTGTATGGTGTGTAGCACTGCGTCACTGCAGCACCAGAGTGGCGGCTTCCTCTCCATCTAGGTTGGGACTGTGTGTGTGTTTGGCTTTGAAAGGATCTGAATAGACTTAGAATTAAGCAGTTACATACAACTGTGCCCCTGGATTCAGCTGTACTCTGGGTGTGGATATAGGTACATATTGATACATGCATGTGTATATACCCTGCAGAGTAAGGGACTGAGACAGGTGGAGCTGAAGGACAGCACACAGAACCTGGCACAGTGTGAGCTCTTCCAGAGCGTTGGCTCTCCCTTCACTCTCTCATTCTTCTGTCTTCATCTGGCAGCATCACTAACCTGTGTGGGATCCAGCAGCCAGCGTCTGGAGCCATGCTCGGTGTCAGAGTGCAGGCTGAGTACCTGCCTCTCTGCCTTGAATGAGGCACGATGTTGACCAGCAGCTCAAGTCCCTGTTGCAGCGAAGCTGTGTGGAAAATACACAGTGGTGCCACTGGGTGTGCCACTGCTGAAGTGGGAGGCAGCCCTGGTGGTAGAGGGGGTCCAGTGCACAGTGTCCACAGGGGTCATTCATGAGAACTGTCATTTGTTCTAAGGGCCAGGAACTCGCCATGGGGGAGTAGGAACATAGATACCGTATTTTTCGGACCATAAGACGCTCCGGACCATAAGACGCACCAGTTTTTAGAGAAGGGAAATGAAGAAAAAAAGATTCTGAAACAAATAGTGTCCTAAAATATTTTATGTGCATTAAAACCCAACATCACAGTCATAAACACATGTAATCAACCCTGAAAAGTAAACAGCAGCATTTAGAACCATTTTAGAGCCGGGCAAGCACACAGAGACCACACAGAGCCGGGCAAGTAAAAAAACTTTTTTTTTAAAGTATATGTGTAGGCTATATTTGGACCATAAGACGCAGGGACTTTTTCCCCCCACTTCTGGGGGGAAAAAGTGCGTCTTATGGTCCGAAAAATACGGTAGTTTGATTGCTTAAAAAGGGTGTTCTGCAATTTTATAAAGTCCTTGAAATAGTGTGTTATTTATTTCACTTTTAAAAAGGGTAAGATATGTTATAAATACAAATGGTGGGTTTTGTAGCATTGTTTGCATTTTCATTAAAGCACTTTGGGGCCATAGCTGGTTTGCCTCAGTGGATAAAGCATCAGCCTGCGAACTGAAGGGTCCCGAGTTCGATTCCGGTCAAGGGCACATGCCTGGGTTGCTGGCTTGATCCCCTGTAGTGGGTGTGCAGGAGGCAACTGATCAATGATTCTCTCTCATCATTGATGTTTCTATCTCTCCCTCTCTCTCCCTTACTCTCTGAAATCAATAAGAAATATGTGTGTGTGTGTGTGTGTGTGTGTGTGTGTGTGTGTATGCGCGCGCGTGCATGCTTTAATGAAAATGTGCTCTAATGGAAATACAAACAATGCTATCACTTTAAGGAGTGCAGTTGGAACTCCTTTCTCTACTTGGACTCTAGGGTTCCAGGTTGCAGCTCAAGAGGATGTATTTTTTAAAAGCTTTCATCATTTCTGAGGTAAAGCCTTAGGGAAGAGACATAGCATCAAAGTGCTTTATTAGTGTTATTACTGTATTGTTAATATTATTTATATTTAACTATCTGTAGGTCTCATAGTCTAGGAATTTATATTTCATACAGCTGTGCAAATCTGAATATAGGCTTTTCTCAAAATGAGAAATGTGCTAAACTTCCCCATCAGAAACCGTTACTAGAACACTTCAAGTCTGACGCAGCACAGCCTTTCCTTGACCACCTTACTTTGCATATGCATTTACAATAGGACCCTACTCAGCCTGCTAGAGACACGTAACCCTTACTGCCCACAGAGCATACACCATGGCTCAATTTCAGAGCACGTGTGTGTGTGTGTGTGTGTGTGTGTGTGTGTGTGTGTGTGTATCTATGCGCGTGCGCACATGTGTGTGCTCTCAGGTCCTCTCCCTGGTTGTGTCCCTGGTTGAGGGATTTTCAGGTAGCATATTGGCTTGCTGTCCATGCTCAATCCAAGGCAGGAAGACTCTAGAATCGGGTCCATAGAGTCCTTAACCTAAACAGATCAGAAGGTAGACTGCAGACCCTAAACCTTCCTTGCCCACGGGCCATTCTCTTGGCCCCACAGCCTGGCCGGTGTCTCCAGGAGTGTGACTCTGGTGATCGCGTACATCATGACCGTCACTGACTTTGGCTGGGAAGATGCCCTGCACACTGTGCGTGCAGGCAGGTCCTGTGCCAACCCCAACCTGGGCTTCCAGAGACAGCTCCAGGAATTTGAGAAGCATGAAGTGCATGAGGTAACTGTGCTCCGGGGACTCGGGAGGTACGCAGAAGAACCTGGGAAGGTGCCTGTCTGTCCACACACTCCTGGAAGCATGGAGGTTGAAGTTAGAGAGGCCCACAGAGAACATCTGGTCCAAGGACACCTCACCTGCACCCCACGTGAAGTCCTCCCTGGTCCCTTGTTCACTAGCTGCAGCCACAGTATATCGTCCTTTACCATCTTCCTTGGGCCCTGTGTACTTCATTTCTCTCCCTGGGGGTCAAGTGCCATTTTTCTAGGTTTGGCTGATGTTCATGCCAAAGCCTTGAAGAAACAGTGATTTATCTTCTTGACACTGCCTGACCAACCACAAAGCTGAGACTGCCCATGCCCATGTATTTCCCAGTTTGTATGTAACATATAAAAGTCTTACATGCATGCTGGTGTGTGTGTGACGTTTGCTTTTCTTTTCAACTTCTTCAGTACCGGCAATGGCTGAAGGAGGAGTATGGAGAGAACCCTTTGAGGGATGCAGAAGAAGCCAGGAACATTCTGGGTAAATATAAAGAGCTGGGGCGCACGGAGGCCCCACCTGGCACCTGGAGAGAGAGCAGCTTTCAGGCCCTGTCTCCTCTGACCTACAGCAAGTACCCTACGGAGACCTAACACTGCGACCTGGTGCCTGCCTTTCTGCCAGGCGCCTGGTGTGCTGGGAGCCACCTCGCCTCGGAGGACAGGAGGGAAGGGTGGCGAAGAAGGTGGATCCAGGCTCTTACCCAGGACCTCCCCAGCCTTGCCTCAGGCCCTTCCACACTGTCTTCCCAAAATTTCTGCACTGACTGGAGGCTGCTTGCTTTCCACACTGTCACTTGCTCTATGAGGGTCAGTGTGCATGTGTGTGTGTGTGTGTGTGTGTGTGTGTGTGTGTGTGTGTCTGCATGTGTGAGTGTGTGAACAGTGCCAAGCACTTAGTCCACACTGCCAGCTGCTACCACCCCTTTTCTTTTGTCCAGTGCTCCAAGTGAGGGCTTTCCTGTCAGCATCTGCAGTGTTGCGCAGCCAGAAGCCATCCTTGTCTGAGAGCACGCACTGAGAACTCGGGGCAGTGGCTGAAGGCAGCAGCCCCCAGTATGCAGGTGGCTGTGGCAGGGCAGCAGGTGGCCAGACTTCCTCTGATATGGCTTCAGGGGCTTGGAAGGTGGTGGTGGTCAGAGTTCTGACCATTGCCTAGACTTAGAGTGCCCCAGGCCTGGACTTCCTGCTGCCTCAAGTCAGGTCTCCTTGCAGCCCATCATGTCCCCAGGTTCTGCGTGGTATTTGTTCTCTCTGGCACCCACTGCATTTTAGTCTCATGGGGAGCACTACCAATTCAGCCAAAGCTGTGTGCTCAGAATGTCCTGCCTTCCTCTTCCCCCCCACTTCACTCTCTCCCAACCACTTGCTGTCTCCCTCTACAAGGGGCTCTTCGAAAGGCTTGCCAGCACCTTTAAGTATTGGGAAGAAAGAACATTTATTAGGCATTGTAGCAGCTTGCATTTAAAACTACATTTTTAAATGTGCACTTATTGCGCACCTTTGTGTATGCGGTGGATTTTATCTTTGATCTCAGCTACCTCATTAAATGTTTTTTGAAAAGGTGTTTTTCGTGGTTCCAATCAACTCTGCCTCATAGTTGAAGATGTTCGGTCGTGATTGTTTTCTGAAGCCAAAGGGAAAAGTATCAGTGTCACTGAGCTATTTAAAGTTTCTGATTTGGGCTCCAATAATGCTTTCTGGTGGGTAAAATTCCACATTCAGGCCACAGCCAGCAGGCAGCAGAGCACCTATAGCTGCAGTGTGAGGCAGCGGGCATGTTTCTGTACCCCAGCCTTTGTTCCAGCTCCAATGCTTCAGCGCGCGGAGCCATGGAATGGAAACCCATCCCTGGCTTCTACCTAAGGAGGTGCGGCACTCTCTTTCTCTGATGCTGCCATACAAGGAGTCTGAGTAAGAGGTGTTCCGTGCTTTGCAGGGTGTGTCGCAGGTGAGTTCATGGGGGATCAGGACAGTGACATCTCCCAACTCCACAGTTGTACAGGCCCCAGGTAAACATCCTGACTGTAGCCTCTGATCACGTGCTTCAATCTCCCAGCTGGCATATCTGTTTTGGTGTGTCAACAAGAAACATGGCCTTGGACTTCCTACATACAGATGAAACAATTTGCCTATGAAGTACATTTAATGTAAATATGTTAACTAGAAAGTATTGAAGATATCAGATTGAATGCTTAAACATATGTACATTTATGAGCATCAAAATATATTCCTATAGGTCTTGATATGCTGTCTTACTATTTGTTGCCAGCGCTGTTCTTTCTCCGCAGCCACACCAGGCGTTCTGAAGTACTGGGCCTTTCTCAGAAGACTGTAACGCACCTGAAGTCGGAAATGCTGCAGAGCCACCGAGCTTAGTCTGGTGCTGCCAAAAAGAAAACCTAGAGTTTAAGTGTCCAGAACTGTTTTGTGAACTTGTCTGTTTGTTTTTTTAAATGGAGTACCTATGTAATCGTGTTGTTACATGTTGAGCACTGAGGACACTCTTTAGCGAGAGGACCTGTTTTTGTGTGTGTGTGTTTTGTTTTGTTTTTTTGCCTTAATTCCAGCGCTGCGGCGATGCCTTGACCACAATCTTGGTGCCTGGGCAGCAGTCTCGGCAGTCCTGCTGCCATCCTGACTGTAGCCTCTGGTCACGTGCTTCAATCTCCCAGCTGGCATATCTCTCTTGGTGTGTCTTACCCATGGTTTGTGTTCTCCGTGGTGACATTTACCAACAACTACACACTTTTGTTAATAAAAGGTAGTATAGCCACATTTAACTTTGTGTTCAGAGCATCCTTCCTTAGCTAAGGCATGGGTAGTGCGTGTTCCTGCTTGGGAGGGCCATGAAGCAGGTTTGGAGCCTGCTCCTCCAGCACAGATGCTGACTTTATTTTAGAGGCTATTTTCCACTGGGGAAAGTGCAGCAGGCACTAGGAAATGTGAACTAATTTCTACATGGGAGTAAAGTCAATCATCCATGAAAGCAAGAAGTTCAGAAACAGGAGCTGTGTATTGCTGCAATTTAAGTTGACTTCCTACATTGTCCTTGTTTAAATCCGGTTGGGGAGTAGGGGGTTCTGGGTGTAACTTTTTACTTCAGGTTTGGCTTGAACTGCAGGCAGGTGTGCATGGGCCCCAGACCACTGGCTTGCCATATATTCCAAGTTACTGCTTCCAGGGCCTGGAAGCTCCTGATGGGGCTGGGCGTGCTGAGAGCTGTGTTGGGCTATTTTGGAAACAGCCCCTGATGGGTGAGGTGACATGGCATTGATTAGTTTGTGGCATAAATGTTCTGACTCAGCAGGCTTGCCTAGGTGCAGCACAAGTACTTCTGAGACCTCCCAGGTGTCAAACCTCTGTTAAAATAGTATTGGCATCCTAGTGGATAAAGAGTTGTCCTGCAAACTGAAGAGTCCTGGGTTCCATTCTGGTCAAAAGCACATGCCTGGGTTGCGGGCTCCATTCCCAGTAGGGAGTGTGCAGGAGGCAGCCAATCAATGATTCTCATCATTGATGTTTCTATCTCCCTCTCCCTTCCTCTCTGAAATCAATAAAAACATATTTTTTTAAAAAAAAAATTTAAGATAATTTGACTATGCTTAGATGTTAGAGGCAGAGACCTCGTTTTTGCCCTGGTCAGGCCCAGTGTTGAGGTCACACTTAAGATGGGGGAGTAGTGGACTCCTGTTGCCCCAGGGCCTTGGTTTGTGACACAAGATGGTTGTGATCCGGGCAAGTTTTCATAGGCTATTTTTTCTGCCACTTTTGTACAGATCCTTTCCAGCCTGAAATTCAGAACCATGACCTACAGTGAATGTGATTTAACTGGGTCACCTGCTCTAATCTCCACTCCAACCAGGTATCTGCTCACTCCAATCACCAACACTATATTCAGGTTTCTGCTCTCTCACTCCACTCACCTCCACTCCATCCATGTATCTGCTCATGTACTCCACTCACCTCCACTCATTCAAGTTTCTGCTCACTCACTCCACTCCATTCGGGTAACTGTTGATAAACCCTCTCTGCCAAATGTGATTCTTTGACCTAAATCATGTTTTTCAGAGTACCGTAACTAACCCTGAGTGTCCTCACAGTCTTCAACCGCGTTTTTGCTTTTCCATGAGGATGGTTTTCCACTAGTAGCTTCTTTAATGTATTGGGTTCTGGTTCTTTTTAGTTTTCATCTCAATATGGAACCCCACTTTCAGTGTCTGGAACTGCTCACATCACTCAGGCAGAGACAGTTTATGAATTCTAGTGAGAGCCTATAAATTCTAGTTATTGTGTGTGTGTGTGTGTGTGTACACATTCCGCTGTGTTTTACTATTTTGAGTTCTGTTTTAGAGAAATTCTTAACCCTCAGGGGGTTCTGTCAGCAACATAAAGGAGCGAGTAGAGCTCAGGTACCTGGGCACCAATGGAAAAGGCAGAGCTTGTGTTGCACAACACGAGTTGGTCACGAAGGCTGCTCTGCAAACCCGCCTCTCACCATAGAAATGGGGAACACACTGTCAAGCCCTGTGATCCACTAGACGGCTCCTCCCATCCTGACTCTGAGTTATTAATAATTTTATTAAGAATGTGCTTTCAACATGCTGTATTTATACATGTACTTAACAAGAAACCACCAAGACTTCAGAGGGAAGTTCCTCTTCCCTTTCCTTGTATTGCCAGAGAAAGGGAGAAACTGAGAAAACAAGAAAAACTGCCTTTGACTTGTGGGAGGCTTGAGCACCTCAATCCCTTCTTGGGATCTAGCAGGGGCTCCTAGGCCCAGGCTCGGGAGTCATTAACACCGCGGCTGTGTTTCATTATGCGTAGCTATCTTGACACTTCTTTCTCCTTTCCCTACTCCGGCTGAAAACCTGTGACTAATAACAGAGCATAATTATTTCAGCTATTGTCAAAATTAGTGTTCCGTTTTGCACCTTGGGCTTAACCACCTTAATGAGTATCTGACTAAAGGTTGTAAGTGTGCCCTGTCTGTTTCTCTATCAGGAGAGAATTACCAGTGCATGTTTGAACATCTGCTAGTGGGGTTTATTTTGGCTGCAGACCTCTATGCAAACTGTTGATCATAAAGAGCTAGTAGTTCCTGAAGCTTCTCGTTCAGGTCATTCGAGTTGGTGCCAAAAGAGTTATTTTAACAGGTGACTGAAAGTACTCAGCCGCTCAGTATTCTAATTGAGTGTGATGTGGAGTTTATTTTGAGGTAGAAGAAACTTTTTGTGTGGGATTTTTGTACAAAGGCCTGTTTAAGAAAACTAGGTGGGAGTTGGGGAGGGCGTTATTTTTTTGAGCTAACAATCCCTTCTAGGAATAATGCAGATTGAGATAGCTTTTGGAAACAATGCTAGTCACACCATTTGCTCATTTACCCAGCTTGACCCAAGGAGATCACATCAGCTTACAGTGGCCTTCCCACTTAGCTGCTCAGTCCTCCAGGACACACATGTACCCAGCAGCATGCATGAATGGAGCATTACAACCAGCATGGTGTTGGCCCCTCTTCCCTTGAGGTCTACATACGTCCATTGTCTTCCCCTTAGCCTCATGCACCCACCCCCAGAAGTGGCCAGAAACAGCACAAACAGGAACCGTACTTTCTGGTGAGCAGGTTTGCCTTTTGCTGCTCGGCTCTGGGTTTCCCCAAGGCTCTGGTGGGGAACGTTTTTGGAAAATAAAAATCAAAAAGACCTCTACATTTGCACCAAAGAAATGTCACCTTCTGCTTTGCAAAGGGTGTGCCCTTCGCAATGAGAGGCCCAAGTGGTACAGAACTTCCTCAGAACAGGAGTCCCTAGAGAGGCTTGTCATGTGCAGGTCAGATGTTCTGATTCTGCTTCGTCTGTGTTGAGCCAAACTTATGTGGTGACCGAGGGAGAGGCAAGGTGTGAGGAAGAGTGTTACTTGACGTGGTGGTGACTTGCATCACTCTGAAAATGAGCTGCATCCCAGCTGTCTGCCTGCTGTCACTACCTGTCTTCCTCGAGTGCCCATGGAGTAAGTGTGGGGAAGGGGCCATGTTTAACAAAAAGGAGGCTGAAGTATTGAACCAGTGAGCAGGCGGGTAGGATGGTCACATGGCAGGCAGGCCTAGATAAGTCTAGTTTTATCCTGGTTCTCTGGAATACCTTGGGGAAGTCCTGGAGGAGGCATCCCACACATATGGGCAACTTCTTCTCAAGATTGGCATGAAAGAAACTCCCTGGAAGGGGTGAGCAGTGCTGAATGGCACCCTGTTTGGTGGCACGGTGCTGCGTCAGAGCCACTCTGCCTGCAGCCTTCCTGGATAGTATAGTGTGTTTGTCCAAGAAGCCCCTCCTAATCCCAGAGACATTTCATCTAGATAGCAGAACAGCCAGCTCCATTCAGGTCAGCTGTCACTGAGCACTGGTGTGTGGTGGGAGCAGGCATCCAGACTTGTAGGATACATTTTAATGTTACCCCCATTTTTAGATGAAGAACTCAAATGCTAGAGATCTTGAGCATTACCTAGTCACAGAGCTAGAAAGTGGCCAGATAAGGACTGGCATCCAAGCACTCCTTTTGAAAT